ACCACCACACCGATTTACCCCAGCGTGCCAGGACTGACTGAGGTCTTACAAGCTGTATTGTTCGAGGTCGAGCGTAGAGCAAGACAAGCTAATCAGGGATTTTGGAACATGGCCTTGCTCCCTGCTCCATACATGCCAGGAGATGGTGAGAAGTGACGCTTCTTCTGTGCATTATTAATAAGCAAGCCCGAGGCACTCAAGTGCAGGTGTGGTGCCCGCTGGCCAGCCAGCCAGCCACCAAGAGTTCTTCACATCTTGGATTCCTGCGAGTCCTCCTTCTCCTAAAAAAGCTTCCGTTTTTTCCTCCTCTTGGGTCCAGAGTGGCCATGCTGAAGGGTATTCTCTGTGCTCTCCCTGAACAAGTGTGAATAAAAGCAGCAGCCAGCCCCTCACCAACATGTCCTGATTTGTATTATCCAAGTGAGGTATTTGCAAAAAAAAAAAAAAAAAAAAGGAAAATTTTAAGAAATTAACATCTGCCATCTCTTCACTCCTGGCTATGTTGTGCTTCAGTTACAGAACTTGCTTTTCATCCCACTATCTGCAGGGATTAAGGACGTCTGCACTCATCTTAATGAGCAACAGGCCTCGATCGACATTATAAAACTCTCTCTCAGAGACCAGGCTCATCAGCAAACACAGGTGGCGCCACTGATCAATAGCACATGGAAATGTAAACTTCAATGTATTTACAAGTTTATTTAAATGACTGAAGAAAAACAGTGCTTTATATTGCTGGGATTTTGAGAAGGCTAGTTTACGAGATTTGAAACGTCTCATGAGTTCTAGCAAACACCCTTCACCATCATTTCCCCACCAGCAGTTGCCAGGCAGGGGAGGCAAAATTGTTTTTACCCCATTGTGTCTATCTCTTTCCCTAGCGCCTTCCTCAGCCATATGGAGTGTGGCTCCAGGCCTTTTATCCCCTTTTCCATCCCTCACTCCTGATGTCCCGGATAGAGAATTACAAGTCAGTAAACTCTGGGCTGGGAAACACTGGCTGGAGCTACCAAGACACTATGTAACTGTTGTCCGTTCACAAAGTATTATCTACACTACATACAGAATACATTTTCCCCTACATTTTAACTGATGCTCGCTTTAGAGCAACTCCCTTTGTTGGGACAAGAAAGGAATCCCATCTCCCTGTGAGTGGAATTCAGAATCTATTAAGAAAAATCAACCTTTTCCACACAGTTTTAGTTTAATAAAAGGAAGGAAAACCCACCAAGTACATTTCAGGTCGAAAGAGAAGCAAAAAATTTGTACTGCAAGTAGTCGTGTGAGTTACCTTGATTCCCAGGAAAAGAAATTTTAAATGCTGGTACATTTTTGCAAGTTGCAGCATCACTCAATGTACCTTAAGGACTGGCAAAGCCTTTCCAATAAGGAAGCATCCTGGTTCTAGCTTATTTTAAAACAAAGTGACAGGACACCAACTGTGAATATAAAACAGGTAAAAATAATTCTTTAAAAAGGCATGGAAATATATGTCTTTTCTGATTGGTTTCAGAAATTGCCAGATTATGATATATAAGAAATAGCTGATAAAATCATACCGAAGTCTCATCTAGAAAACTACATTGTTGGGGAAGGAAGAGGAGAGACCTTAAAAAATGTTTATTGCCAAAGTTAAGTTTCTATGAGAAAAGTTTAAAAATCATTTAGATCTAACAAACCACACAGCAGCATAAAATGGGCACTTTTGAAAACTTGGAAAAATACTAAAAGCAATTTTTTTTTTCAAATGGGGGAAACATGAGTACTTTTATCATGGCAGTGTTATCTCTGTCACTGTGACATGCATTACATCTGTTTATGTCACACATTCACAAAAGTCGACCAAATAAGAGAACTGCCTGTTTGAATCTGCAGCCAAATATAGTGCAAATTGCCTGGCAGCGTGTACTTGCACCAGCACAAGTCTGCAGAGAGCAATAAGATAAAGTAGTAAAACTAATAAAACTCTGTAACAAACTTTCAAAAATTAATGCTCATTAAAGGCATTTACAGTGGCAAAGTCAGAAATCTTCATTAAAAAGTCTATGGACCCACACAATTAAATAGTTACACTGAACTGAAGTAGATTGTTTGGTTTTTCTCTCCCACTTATGCATACACCCCACTCAATGACTACAGAAAAAAGGAATAATCTTCTTTTCTAAGACTAGAGGGATGCGGTGAACACCACAGCTAGCAAAATATTCCATAGAAACCCTTCTTGTAAAGTCCTTTAGAAAGTTCAGGCTGATCAGCCTTTGCACATTGAGGTAAAAATTCAGTCCAGTGCATCAGAAAAGATAATCTATGAGTATCTATTACTTTAAAAAAATGGCTCAATTTTGTTGACGCATCAGACAGTGCTGCAAAGTATAGATTCAGTGCAACTATTCCGAGCTGCTGGTAGAAGACCACCTGAAGTCAACTTGGCTCGATCTAGAGGCGGTAGGCATTTGAAACATTTTGAGGCTGCATGGGGTGCCAAATTGGTTGAGTTCTTTTTCTGAGACTCTCAGGCAAAATACATCGTGTGCTGGGTATCATGGTGGATTTGCACAGCCTTAGCCAAGGCCTGAGGATCCCGGCCGTTGCTCTGTCCTGACACATGACTGCCTTCCGCACTGTAAAGAGAATAAAACAAAACAAAACAAAGCAAAACAAACAAAGAAACAAAAAACCAACAACAACAACAAAAACAAAAAACAGGTATAACAGAAGACCACTTCAAACTTCACACATTTCAAATAGCACAAACCGTACTAGATTCTAGAATATCTTAGGCTTAAGCTTTAGCTTCTTGAATAATTTGTTATGGTCCTCTAAACATCAGTTGGCTCAACTGAACTTCTTTAATGGGCTGCTGCAAGAATTAAATAATATAATGTCTGCAAAGACACAATCCTTAACAGTATCCATATAAAGATTTCCACTGCCCATTATGTCTAGCTAATTTCTTTAGGCTTCAGTCAAATGTCATTTTTCCCCACAGAAATCTTCTTTGACTTTAAGGTCCAGGTCAGAGCCACCTGGAACATGCTTTCACAGAATCCTATATTTTTCTTTCATGGTACTAAACACAATTGAAATTAAATTATTACTTGGGTAATTATTTATTTTCCCACTGGGATATAAACTCCAAGAAAGCAGCAACTTTGTCCACCTTGCTCACCACTGTATCCTTGGTGTCTAGCACATAATACCACAAAGTCTCAATAAACCATTAGTTGAAGGAGATTCCCAGCAAATGCTATTGTGCCACCAGTCTCTTCTTTTCTTCCCCTCACTAACTATATAACCTTGGACACATAATAACTCCTCTGAACTTTAGTCTTCTGGAGTAACAACAACAACTTCTAAACATACTACTTAAGGATACCATGTGATATAAAGGGCTTGACAAGCTGTAAATCCCCATTCCTCTTCTGACTTTCTCTTTAAGTGATTATTATCCTTATCATCTAGGCTCAAAATCTTAGCCATCTTTTACTTCACCCTTTCCTCTGACACGCATATCCAATTAACTGTTAAGTCCTGTCTATTCTATCCTAGGAACAGCATTTTACATTTAACAAACAGTCTTGTTCCAACATACTTTTGCAGCCTCATACCTGCTTGTTCCCCTTTACTATCCTCCAGCCAAAGAAAATTTGCTACCGTACAATCACGTCACTTGCTTTCTCTCCTTGTGTCCATTGTTCCCTCTGCCCTGAAAATTCTTTTCACTTTTTTGTAGAGCCAAATTCTACCCATCCAGCTATGAACTCTTCTCTAAAAGCCTCTCCTCTGGTGTCCCATTGCACTTTTATCTGTACTGACTTGGGCTACTTGTCAGTTGTATATTTGCTATACTGTCTCCCGTACTGAAATATAAAATCCCTGTGGACAAGAAATACGTCTTACTCATCTTAGTATTTCTAGCACCTAGTACAGTACTGGGCACACAGTCAATATCTAATAAATATGCCGAATAAATGAAAGCACATTACAGAATGGAAGGTACAAAGCCACAGCTGGACATGTTCCATAATAGCGTATTTTCAACCCTTACAGAAATAGACTTGCAGTGGAATGTCTACTATTTAGCAGCTGAATTCAGACTTGGGGAAGAGCCCAGAAACTGCTACACTTCACAGATGGTCACTCGGAAAAGAAAATTAATGCAGAGAGCTTGTTTAGCTATTTAATAGAAGCTCAGGAATAGGTCAAAATATCAGATTCTCTTATTCTCCCAAGATGCCTATTTGAAAGTGAGAATGGTCTGTGCCCCCACTCTCACATACCCATCCAGGTTCACTCTGGGGTATTTTTCCAGAATGTACCAAAAGCAAAGGGAACTGGTCAGGCCTCCTCACTTGCAGGAAGTGGAATCCACAGCCCTGTGACTGCTTTGACCGGAGCCAGGGTACTGTGTTGACCACTTTTTGAGGCTACTTAGGACCTGAGCAGAACTGAAATGCATTTGGCTCCATGGGAGAACCACAAGAAGCTCCAGATTAAACTCCTTTAGAGACACAACGCAAGTATAAACAAGCCTAAGCACTTCTTGGACCAAAAGTCACATTACAAGCTCTCAGAGGCACATGCAACTTTATATGCTCCTTACAATTTAAACGCTGAGAGAAAGTTTAAATCCTTAAAAGAGTTTTCTATCGTAGCTCATTTTTTTTAACATGCTAGTAAAATATAAAGAGACTTTATTGTGCCTAAGAAACTTGCCTGTCATGATCTTTATCCACCAGATGATACCTTGCCCTAAATGCTACAAGCCGGGCATAATATGCAGGGGCTGGAATAGAGACTGAGCGAGTGCACCTCACATAGGTGTGACACAGCTGGTAAGTCAGTAGCTGGAGTTCATCTGCAGTGAAGCAGTTGTCATCCCACAAGACCTGGTAATGTGAGGGACGGCTAGTTCCCTGGGGAGAGAGTTTCATGATTAATTTGTTGTTGTTGTTGTTGTTGTTGTTTGAGATGGAGTCTCACTCTGTCACCTAGGCTGGAATGCAGTAGCACGATCTTGGTTCACTGAAACCTCCGCCTCTGGAGTTCAAATGATTCTCCTGCCTCAGCCTCCCAAGTAGCTGGGACTATAAGTGCACACCACCATGCCCAGCTAATTTTTGTATTTTTTAGTAGAGACAGGGTTTTGCCACATTGGTCAGGCTGGTCTCAAACTCCTGACCTCAGGTGATCTGCCCACTTTGGCCACCCGAAGTGCTTGGATTACAAGCGTGAGCCACCGTGCCTGGCCTGATTAATGTGTTTCTGACATGACATGAGAGGAGAAAATAATTGAAACCTACTCCTTAAACTCAGAAATACTTCTGCCTAGCACACCTACAAGCAGATACCTAGACCAAAAGATGACAATTCTAGGATACAAGCATTAACAAAGTTAGGCATGGTGTTAAATAACAAGTCCACTCAAGCTAGTTGCTGAATTTGCAAACATCTCCCTATCAAGTCAAAGATCTGAAGCAGCTTCCAAATTACCTGAATTCCTGCATGACTACAGAGGTAAAAGTCAAACTCAGATGGATGTGTGATGGTACTATCCACTGTAGTGCCTGCTGGTACATTGCCACTTTTCCCTACCTACAAAAAACCAAAAAAAGTCATTAGTCATCAAAGTGCCAAACTGGGCTCAGGCCATTTTTTTCTTTTGTGTGTTAATTGGGAGCAAGCTGGTAAATCTCTCTTAAATTAAGTCTTGAAAATCACTTTCATTCAAGATGTTGAATCCTCTGTAACTTTCCCTTAGCCCAACCATTTTAACCTATAGTATTTTCACAAACAAATATGTTCCAGGATCTCTTCAGGAAGATACAGACAAAAAATATTTTACCTGTGGCTTTGGGCTACAACATTATTATGCATTTACAGATGACACAGTGGTATGTTCATAGAGGGGAAAAAACATTTAACATTTAAGATAGATAAACTTCCTGAGAAAGAAACAGTTTTATTCCTTTCTTGGAGTAAAAAAATATTCACAATTTTCAGTAAAAGTAAGATTAAGGAATCTTTAAACTGGTTTATCAGGTTCAACATAACTAATACTTTTTTTTTTTTTTTGAGACAGGGTCTCACTCTGTCACCCAGGCTGGAGTGCACTGGCAGGATCATAGCTCACTGCAGCCTTGGATTCCTGGACTCAAGGAATCCTTTCACCTCAGCCTCCTGAGTAGCTGGGGCTATAGGCACACATGCCATCATGTCTGGCTAATTTTTTTGGTTTTTTTTTGAGAGATGGGGTCTAATTTTGTTGCCCAGGCTGGACTCAAACTCCTGGGCTCAAGCAATTCTCCCACCTTGGCCTCCCAAAGTGCTAGGACTACAGGTGTGAGCTACCACACCTGGCAATAGCAAACACTTTAATAATAATAATAATAAAAAGTCACTGGCAAATGGTTATCAGGAAGAAAGCACTGAAATGGGAACTAAAAAACCAGTTTCAGATCTAGGCCTAGCCTTGCAACTATATACCTTGAACAAAGCTTATTATCTTTACTCCTCGATCTAATCATCTATAAAATTAGGTGATGTTCTCTTACCCTTTTAAAATTCCAAGCAAAAACCCTACAGACAAGATTTGAAAATCAAATTTCTAGGAAGGCAAGAGGGGAACTTCAGAAATGGATTACAAGGGAAGGAATTAAATCTTGCTATTTGGTCACCCTCTTCTGCTGTACAGCAGGGCTCAGTATGAACACGTTTATTTAGCATACAGGCACAAATGTGATGGGAGTTTATTTGGCTCCATTTTAACTATTGTTACCTTCAGCTGAAGATCGTACACCTATGCATACATAACTCTATGAGTATAGAAAAATCTCCTTCTATCAAATGTATATGTGATCTTGGGTTCCTAGCTGGATCAGAAGAAATCTAATTGAGTTACATTGGTTCTAGCATTTTTTTTTCCCCAAAGTGTGTTCTTTAGGAATATTAGTTTTGCAGGATGTGCTTAGGTAGTTTATGGTGGAACAAACCTGAGAAATATAGGGTCAAATTAAAGTTAAAAATATTTTTCTACTGTATGACTTCTCAAAACCTTTATTTAGTCATGTATAATCTTTAAGAGGGATATAGAGTATATAGCATTTTCTAAATTTATTTTACCCTTAAAAAAAATAAAAAAACTCTCTGGTTCTACACATGACAGCCTGAAGAGGTGATGCCTTGGAGAAAAGAGAATCCAGGCCTTTCAATTCACCAGTTATTGCTTGAGCACCCATGTGACTGCTAGGCTCTGCAGCAGATGTTGGGGATGACAGCCAGGGGCATCAAGAGAACTAATCAACTTGCCTTCCTGACTTCATGAAAAGTGTATACAATAAACTGTAACACAATGTGATATGGGCATGTGGGAGCCATTGGGAAAAGGTGATGAGGAGGAAATAGGTGAGCCATGCCTTATAAGATAAGTAGGAGCTGAAAAGGGAAGTTGGGTAAAAAACAGGAAACACTCCAAATACCCCTAAACTCAAAAATGGATAAGAAAAATGGGGCTCATCCATATTATGAAATACTACTCAACAACAAAAAGCAGCAAATTACTGATATATACACAACTTGGATGAATCTCAAATGCCAGACTCAAAGGCTATGATTCTATTTATATGATGTGCTGGAAAAAGCAAAACTGTAGGAATAGAATACATATCAGTGGTCGCCAGGGGCTGGAAGTGAAGGAGAAAGGTTAACTACAAAAGGACACATAAGAATTTTTTGGTATGACAGAATGATTATACAGTCAGCCCTTGGTATCCACAGGTTCCGCATTCAGGAATTCAACCAACTGTGGATATTCTTTAAAAAGGTTTGGATATGCTAATTATACCCTGATTTGATCACTATACATTATTTGTATAAAAACTATGTAACCCATAAATGTGTACAATTATTATGTGTCAATTAAAAAATAAATAAAAATATAAATTTTAAAGACCTGACACAAATACAGAAAATTGTTAACATGTTTAAAAATTTAATTTTAATGTGAAAAAATTAAAAACAATAAAACATAGCATTTACACTGTATTCAGTACTAAAGCAACCTAGAAAAATATTTAAAATAATTCAGCAGTAAAAACTTATACACATTTTAAAATATAGTATAACAACTATTTAAGCCTTTACATTGTATTAGGTATTATAAGTAATCTAGACATCTTTTAAAGCAAGCTTGTCCAACCCGCAGCCCACGGGCTGCATGCAGCCCAGGACGGCTTTGAATGTGGCCCAATCCAAATTGGTAAACTTGGGCCGGGAGCAGTGGCTTTCATGCCTGTAATCCCAGCACTTTGGGAGGCCAAGGAGGGCGGATTACTTGAGGTCAGGAGTTCAAGACCAGCCTGGCCAACATGGAGAAACTCTCTCTACTAAAAATCCCAAAATTAGCTGGGCATGGTGGTGTGTGCCTGTAATCACAGTTACTCAGGAGGCTGAGGCAGGAGAATCACTTGAACC